GCGAGGCCGGAGGTGGGGCGGGGCCGGGGCGGCGCTCAGCCTGCGGCTGCGGGTCCGAGAGCTGCGGAGCCGGCCCTTGTCTGCCGTCGCGGAGGGCAGCCTCCTGGCCGCAGGGTTCATCGCTGACCTGACGTCGCAGCGGAGCGCTCTTGGCAGATGGAGGCTGTGCCTTTGTCAGCAGCTCTGGGGGCTCCTTGCTGGCCCGGGTGTGGTGGTCCTGAGCCCGGTGAAGGAGGTTCTGGAACCTCCCGCAGAACCGTGTCCGCTGCACGAGAGCGCCCGCGTTGCTGGGGAAGGAGAAGCGGGCTCTAACGCTCCCCGAGGGTCAGGTCGGGCTGTGGCCAGTCTGCTCTCATCCGGCTTTACCCAGACTGCTGACCCCCGAAGGCGCCTTGGGCTGCGGAGACTTACAGGGATGGGATTAAAGCAAGCTCCAGATGGCCCAAGGACTCACCGGCCAATCAGGTCGGTAGGGAGACGATGTTGGCCGCTTCCAGGACTCTTCAGCACCGACAAAGACCAAAACCCAAAGAGAAAAGGGGCGAGAACAGGACCGACATTGCACAGAAAGGAGGAGCAGTGGCCCTCACACATGAAAGGCTGTGGGTCCTCCCTGGCCGCGGAGTGCACTCCATTAGGACGAATGAGCCCCAGGTAACACCGGAGGGCTGTCCCGGGAACAATAACAATGGTTACCTGCAGGGTGGGGGGAATAAACAGAAGCAAGACTTCTCGGTCTTTGAACTAGAGTTTTTACATCGCCGAAGCAAATTGAAATCAGTGAACTTAACTCTAGGTCAAACTGGTAACTATGTCATTAAACAGAGAAAAGAATTATTCCCCAGGTATTTTTATTTTTTTATCCTCACCCAAGGAGAGAGATATATATATACATACATACATATATATATATATATATATATATATATATATATATATATATATATATATAAAGAAAAGAGCCACGTGCTAACCCGACAAGCTCAGGGAAGACCTAAACTCAGAGACCTAAAATAACCACAAAAGATGGTTTGAAAGTTTAATATCTAACTGCAAACAGGTTATAGTGGGTAGTCATGTCCCAGATATTTCACCTGACAAAGATCAACTTTGATCTACTCTTACTGAGCCCCTCTGCCTTCCCGCCTCTAAGATAACCTATCTGTGAGATGTCTGGGTAACTTGTAACTTCCTTTTTACCCCGGACCACTCAGGGCACAACAAATGGCCTTGAGACATTCCCTCATTGTTATTGTTATCAAGTAAATTGTCAACTGTTAATTACCTTAGAGTATCCTGTATCCATCTCTGTAAAAGAAGCTCTCCTTTCCTCTCTAAAATAAAAACATTTAACAACAACAACAAAAAAGAAAAAATAGTAATATTGTTGCTATGGTTTTGAAACTATATTGTAGGGTACACAAATGTTTGAATGTTATACAAGACTTTCAGTGTAAAAGAAAATGAGATACAAATGTAAGATCAAGAAAGTTCAGGAAAAAAGCTATCCTATGTTTAAATTGGAAATAGCATTTTGAGCACATAACTTTTAAAATAAATGTCCTAGTTCTGTGCACTGAAAGGAACCAGAAGCAGGAGGTTGACCAGATGTTCCAGTTTGCCAGGGACAGGGTTGTGTGTGTGTGTGTTCCCGGATGTTGGCCTTACAGCGTTAATTCTAGCACTGTCCCAGGCAGACTGTGTTGGTTGGTCACCTACAGTAATGAACACACTTGCCAATCAGATCACGGTTTCCAAATTCCACTTCCCACTGAGTAAATCCAGAGTACCTTGGATTCACTTACACTTCAAATTAAACTGTAAATTGCACTTCAGTAAAGTGTGGGAATAAACAAAGGACAGGCGAAGGCTGCTTACCCAGAACCTGCTGAAGCGAGAGTCTGCCGCCATGGCGTGTGATTGGCAGAGACTCCAAAGCTGGCGGGAGGGAGAGCTTGGAGGGGAAGGCAAGACCCAGGTGTGCCCAGGGGCTGGGGCAGGGAGCCAGCGGCCGCTGTCAGAGGTGGGCCTCCCTGTGACCAGTGAGGGCATCTGATTGGCTTTCTGCAGTTGGTTCTCATCTGCAAGGGGGGACAAAGATTAGGGAAGCTGTCCGTGTAACCACGTCTGGCCATTTTGAGCTGATGATTATAGAGGGTTTGTTTAGCCTTCTGGGTTGTTACAGAGATAGCAGACTGACTTCCTCCAAGTCTGATGGATAGCAGGCTGGCTCCTGGGCAGGTTACTGGCGGTAAGGGCCTGGTTTCCTAGGCACTTGGCTGCAGGTTGTGGGTCAAAATTCTATTCTTATATATGGTCTGGCCATGCCCATTTGTATATTTGGTTTTTAAAGTAAATTTTAAAAAGACAAAGAAGCTATTGTAGTTTGAAAGATCTCCCAGAGGCCAAATTTAGGACAATTGTAGAAAATGACTAAATGGAATAGATAAAAAAATCTTTATAATTATACTTGATGAGAGGATAGGAGGGAATGAGACTATTTTTAAAAAATATATATATATATATTTTAAAATATATATATATATATTTTATTGATTTTTTTACAGAGAGTAAGAGAGAGTGAGAGAGAGCTAGAAACGTCGATGAGGGAGAAACATCGACCAGCTGCCTCTTGCACACCCCCTACCAGGGATGTGCCCTCAACCAAGGTACAGGCCCTTGACTGGAATCAAACCTGGGACCTTTCAGTCCGCAGACCGACTCTCTACCACTGAGCCAAACCGGTTTTGGCTAAAATATATTTTTTATTGATTTCAGAGAGGAAGGAAAAGACATATATATATATATATAGAAATATCAATGATAAGAGAATTATTGATCGGCTGCATCCTGCACGCCCTTGCTGGGGATCGAGCCTGCAACCTGGGCATGTGTTGACTGGAATTGAACCTGGGACCCTTCAGTCCGCAGGCCGATGCTTTATCCACTGAGCCAAACCACGTAGGACAAGACTATTTTTCTATTATTGGAAATGATTACTACACCAGCTTTTCCCTCTGAACATTAATTGTTAAAGGGAAATACAGTATTTGCCCTACCTTTACAATAGGGTGCTAGCAAATAAATGTAGACTAACTGATGTAGTTAGAACATGACTATTACACAAATCTGAAAGAAATAATTGACTTAATCAAGGATTAACAAACTCCACAGGGAATTGATCTATCGATAATTGCAGAGCACACTTGTGTAGTGGAGCCCTCAGGCGGTCAAAGTTAGAATCTGCAATAGACGCCCTCCAGTTTGCAGAAAGTACAGGAGAAAGGGTAGGAGTTGTTTGTTGTTGTTAATACTCACCAGAGGATTTTTTTCCATGGATTTTTTAGAAAGAATGGAAGAGAGGGGGAGAGACAGAGAGAAGGAAACATCGACGTGAGAGGGACACATCGATTGGTTGCTTCCCACACTTGCCCCTCAGGGATGGGGATGGAGCCTGCAACCAAGGTACATGCCTTCAGTCCCCACAAAGAACTCCGCTGGCACTCTTAAAAATGTATTTTTAAAATAATATATTTCTATCACAAATTTTACTACTTAAAAAATGTTTTTATTGATTTCAGATTGAGAAAAGGAGATGGGAGGGAGAGATAGAAACATCAATTTTGAGAGAGAATCACTAATTGCCTGCCTCCTGCACACCCCCTGTTGGGGGTCAAGCTTGCAACCTGGACATTTGCCCTGATTGGGAATTGAACTGGTGACCTCCTGGTTCATGGGTCTACACTCAACCACTGAGCCACCCGGGCCAGGCTAGTACTATTTTTAAAATTATGTTTCATTGTACCTATATCCTTGAACATAATACTAAACAATTTTCCAGGCTTTGTTTCCTTGTATTGTTTTGAGTTAGTGTATTTGTCATATACCCAAGAAACATTCACTGAATACCTGCCAGGTACAGGATCTACAAAGATTCCCTCCCAAAACAAACAAACAACAACAACAACAATGTGGCTATGCAGTTGGGTTCTAATTTTGAATCCTTGGTGGGGTCAGGGAGCAGAGATAATAGAGGTTTGGAGAACTCAGCGCCACTTCTTGGAAACAAGCTTGTGCAAGTCCTGGGAAGTCCCTCTGTTAGAACAAATAAAGTCAGCCTTGGACATGGTCTTGATTGCTGGAGTTTTTCCCTGGTGCCCGTTCCATGCAAACCACACCGCTTTCTGAAAAGGATCCCGTGTGCCAGCATGACGAAGCACCGCCGTCCTCCTTCCCCTGTCCACCCGGGTCCATGGCACACGCTCCTGTTTGTGCTGAGGGTCCCGTGGCAGTGCTGAGTCATATCTTCAGCCCAGGGGATGCATAATGGCTGGTCCGAGCCAATGTTTCCTAACCGGAATGGTATTGGTATTTGGGAGAGGATGAATCTTTTTATTTATTTATTTATTTATTTTGGCCATGAGAGGCTTGGACATTTTTTATTGCCTTTACTTCATCCTAAGGTGTGTTTTCAGGATGCTATTGCCATACGTACTACATAAAAAGGTACGTTTAAAAAACATTCAGTGTCGCCAGAACTGGTTTGGCTCAATGGATAGAGCGTTGGCTTGGGGACTGAAGGGTCCTGGGTTCGATTCCCGTCAAGGGCATGTACCTTGGTTGCGGGCATATCCCCAGTAGGGGGTGTGCAAGAGGCAGCTGATCAATGACTCTCATCGATGTTTCTAACTCTCTATCTCTCTCCCTTCCTCTCTGTACAAAATCAATAAAATATATTTTTTTAAAAATTAAAAAAAATAAAAAACATTCAGTGTTAAAACATGGCTGTCAAATACAATACACATATGAAATCATCCCCATATTTCCCATTGAACATCTGAAGCCTTTCATTTGCCAAGCCTGGGTCCTCCTCCCCCCCCCCCCCCCCCCCCCCACTGGCCAATGTCTGGGACGCGGCTCAGACTGGCTTCCGCCCTCCCCTGTGTTCCTTGGACGGGGTACCGCCTCTCCCCTGCGGGTTAGACGGGGTACCGCCTAGGATGAGTCTTTTTCTGTGTGCAAAAGTGTTCTGTGTTATTTAGGACCCTGGCCAACCCACTAGATATCAACAGCACCACTATGTGTGCGACAGCTGAAACTGCTCCTGTATTTCCAACACCTCTCCAAGTCAGGCTACCTGGTGGGAACCCCCGGTCACGTGTGGGTACCAAATAGAGACGCCCAGTCTCCTTCCAGACAGAACTGGCCAGCTGAGCAGTTCTGGCCAGGCCCCGAGGACACCGGGGGTTCTGAGGAGGATGGTCTTCTCCAGCAGGAGATGTGCAGGAGGCGGAAGCGCTTTGTCCACCCGCCCTTCCTCCTTGCCTCTTGGCAGGTGGGAGAGGCTGTGGCCTTGGATCTGTAGGACTGTCATGACCACAAGTGCCCCGTGTGAGGACAGAAGCCGGCCCGCTGAGAAGGCAGAGCGGAGGGTGCACATCCCTAAGTCCTGGGTGACATGGTTGAGCGTCCACAGGAACCCAGGCACTGCCAGCTGCTGGGCTTTTTAGGAAGTAAAATATGAAGGTCTGTATCTTTTAAACCACTGCCCATCAGGATTGCGAACCAAATCCGGCTTAATTAGAGGAAAATGGTATGTACATGATAGACAAGTGAAAGAAAATGGAAAAGTACCAACAAAAGGTGTGTTTTTTCTCCCAGAAAATATATCAAGCAATTCACCTACAGAGAGTTGAATATTTAAAATCTCAATATATGAGTTGGTTTCCTTTCCTGAACCCATGAATAAAAAATAACTACTTTTCCTGTGGCATTTTGCTTTATTGTTGTGATGACAGCCCTCATTGTTTAGCAATGTGATCGACCAGAAATTTAAATACCATTATTCACTCCCAGAAAACCAAACTTCAGAAGATAATAGATCTAGCTACCTTAAAAATGTAAGGGGCTGGACAATCTTACTTTCAGAACTTTTCAAAACACCGTCCTGTTTGCCTCCGCTGCTTGCTGAGTCACCGGTGGGTGCTGTAGGCTTTGTTGGGTCCAACACTCGAACCTCCTCTAATTTTTAAGAAGGACAGCCTTCTGCCGAAGCCGGTCTGGCTCAGCGGACTGAAAGGTCCCGGGTTCGGTTCCGGTCAAGGGCATGTACATTGGTTGCGGGCACATCCCCGGTAGGGGATGTGCAAGAGGCAGTTGGTCGATGTTTCTCTCTCCTCGATGTTTCTAGCTCTCTATCCCTCTCCCTTCCTCTCTGTAAAAAATCAATAAAATATATTAAAAAAATTTTTTTTTAAAAAGGACAGCCTTCTATTCCTGATAAAGGAAAGGATACTTACCCAGGGGACAGCGTATGGAAAAGCCATGTGCCTGCTTTGCCCGGGACACACTGCAGGCCTGGCCTCCCGGGAGAGGCCCTAGGCTCAGGCTGTTGTACTCTCGACCATGCTGACCACCTGCTGCAGACACGGGCCAGGACCTGCATGGACGTGGCTCTTTCTGCCATGTTAACCTCCTAACTATTGTCCTCTGTCCACTCCTCTGTGCCTGGCCTGCCTCTCTTCTCATGGGTTCCTGTGACCGCCTTTTAGCTGGGCCCCGACACCCCAGAACCTTCCTGCACACAGCAAGCCCGCCTGCTCCTGCCTAACACAGTGCCCCGCCATTCCATGCTTCTCTCATTAAGCACAACTCAAACGCCTGGGCATTTTCTATAAAACAAGCAAAGGCACACTGACTAGGGACCTGAGAACCCCATGGGGGCGGGGGTGGGCAAGGTATGGTCCCCTGGGCTTGCTTTTGGCTTCATACACCCCAGGAGCTTGCAATCTGGAAATACCAAGAGGCACAGACAAAGCATGCTCCCCAACAAATCTGCTTTCTAACCAAAGGACCAGGGAAGGGGCAGCCCAGCAAGGAAGAAAACCTTAGACAGTAAACCACACTCCCTGGACAATATCCCCATCCACGCCAGCACAGGTTCTAGTCAAAGCACCAGCGACCTGGGCTGTGGTGAATCGGGGTGACACCGGAGCAGAATTATCTCACAACCTGGGCACCCCACATCAGAGTCATTTGCAAGCAGTGCTTTATGGGACTTGGGAAAGAGCACCACCTAGTGAGGGAGCAAAAGCAAAAAGTCTCAATCCGTGGTCGGCAAACTGTGGCTCACGAGCCACATGCGGCTCTCTGGCCCCTTGAGTATGGCTCTTCCACAAAATACCACGACCTGGGCGAGTCTATTTTAAAGAAGTGGCGTTAGAAGAAGTTTAAGTTAGAAAATGTGGCTCTCCAAAGAAATCTCAATCGTTGTACTGTTGATACTTGGCTCTGCTGACTAATGAGTTTGCTGACCACTGGGCTAAATGCTGTGCTTCCAAGCCCTGGGTCAAAGCCAAGTCAACGTGGGCTCTTAGAAGACGGGAGAGGGCGGGGTGTATGTCAGGAGGAGGGACTGCTGTTGCAAAGCAGGGGAGCCAGCCTCTAGGACAGGGGTCTGCAACCTTTAAGACATAAAGGGCCACTTGGACCCGTTTCCGAAGGGGAAAAAAAACCTGGGAGCCGCAAAACCATTGCGACATTTATTTTATTTTATTTTTTTAAATATATATTTTATTGATTTTGTACAGAGAGGAAGGGAGAGAGATAGAGAGTTAGAAACATTGATGAGACAGAGTCATTGATCAGCTGCCTCTTGCACACCCCCTACTGGGGATATGCCCGCAACCAAGGTACATGCCCTTGACGGGAATCGAACCCAGGACCCTTCAGTCCCCAAGCCGACGCTCTATCCATTGAGCCAAACCGGTCCCGGTCCATTTAAAACAAATATAACACTGCATATATTGTTTCTTACCTTAATGCTATATACCGGGTCGTGCAGTTAGCTGTCAATCTGAAGAATAAAAGGACTTTTTCACTTAACAATGTAAAATATATTTTTGCAAATTAATAGCTAATTAAAATATTTAATTTACCTGGTTAATGGGATTTTTGCTCCTGAACCTCAGTGCACAGTGTCAGCACGTCAGGGCCCTAAGACGTTACCTTCATCTTCACACGGGCTTGCCAGTTGTCGGAGCCGCGGTAAAGCTTCAAAGAGCCGCGTGCGGCTCTGGAGCCGCAGGTTGCCGACACCTGCCCTAGGAGAAGGGACTAAGGAGGAGCAGGAAGCGTTCCAGGACCTCAGACATTGGAGACAAGGAATGATAAAGATACACAGGATGAATGCCAGCAGATGAACGTGCTTGTTCTGAGCAGGAATCTCACTAGAAGGCATTACCAAGATAATGAGCATTAAGTTTTTAAAGGATAAACCATACTACGGCTCTGACCTTGGTATTTTCCAAAGTTCACTACGTGTGTGGCTTTAGCCTTGGCCTTTGGAAAGGGTGGAGTGACGTCATGAGGTTCAGCAATGACCTCAGTAATAATCTTAACAGCTGACAGGCTGGGACATTATTATAATATCACGTTTAAAAGTAATTTAAACTCAGACTACTACTTCCATATATTTTAGTAAAAGAATAATTTTATTTTGAATAAAGCTTCAGGTTTATTCTTGAATTTCTGAAGTTCCTTCTATGATGGTTCTCTTTATCTTTGGCCAAATATGGATCATAACAATTGGTCATTAGGCTTTCAGCTAATGTGTATTTACTGTATTTCTAAATGCTTTAGAAAGTGGATGAAGGAGAACAGAATATGCCACCCCAAAATGTGCCACTTTGGCATGGAGATTGTTTTGAGCTGAAGTCACTCAAGACCCAGCAGGCTCAAGAAAAATGCTTACCTTTCCCTGTTTGCCTAAAAGAATTTACATAGGGAGCTAGGCCCAGAATGAGTACTATTATCTGAGGTAACTTTTATTTTTATTTATTTATTTATTTATTTATTTTTAATATATTTTATTGATTTTATACAGAGAGGAAGGGAGAGAGACAGAGAGTTAGAAACATTGATGATAGAGAGTCATCGATCAGCCGCCTCCTGCACACCCCCCACCAGGGATATGCCCGCAACCAAGGTACATGCCCCTGACCGGAATCGAACCCGGGACCCTTCAGTCCCCAAGCCGACGCTCTATCCATTGAGCCAAACCGGTCCTGGCATCAGAGGTAACTTTTAAAAAATATATATTTTATTGATTTTTTTTCAGAGAGGAAGAGAGAGGGACAGAGAGTTAGAAACATCAATGAGAGAGAAATATTGATCAGCTGCCTCCTGCACCCCCCTATCCCCACTGGGGATGTGCCCACAACCAAGGTACATGCCCTTGCCCAGAATTGAACCTGGGACTCTTCAGTCTGCAGGCCGACACTCTATTCACTGAGCCAAACCGGCTTCGGCATATGTCAACTTAATTATTAGACCAGTTAAGAGAACCTAGAAGGGTAGAGGGAAAAAAATTTCCCTCCCTACCTGACTAATATAGAATGATGTTATCATACTTCTTGGTATCGTGTAAATATTAATTTATATCTTAACATTTACCAGTTATAGAATCTTCAACATAATGTATATTATGACCGGACTTGTTAAATACTCACCATTTAAGCTATTTCCTCTTCTTCCTGGTCCCTCTTCTCTGCAGTCGAATGTGGCCATGTGATTGAGTTCCAGATGATGGTGTGTGGCCAGAGCCGGTGTCTGACATTTCAAGGCTGGCCTAAAACAGCCTTTCTCATTCTCTTTCCCGTTCTCCAGCTGATGGAGAGCAAGGCAGGGAACATGGAGACTGGACTGTGACAGGGAAAGGTAGGAGTTTATTACCTGCCAGAGCAGGTAATGCTTGATACTCTTAACACACTTCTAAAATAATTTCAGGAAATGTTTGAAAACAGTCAAGGAAGCCATGAACTGGGAGAACCTAAGTTGTAAATATGTGTACTACTTTCTAAATTCAAAGGTTACCTTTGTTTGGGGTTGTGTGCTCCTAGGCAAGATGGTGGTGTAAGCTCTAAAATCCCCACCTAGATGACTCAGGGGGAAAAAAACCCACATTAGTGCTAGAAATCCGGCATTGCACCCAAAGTGCCAGAATAAGGGAGCATTTCTGGTAGGCAGCTTGTTGATGTTGTGCTGCTAGCACATTGAGTAACAGTCACATTGAGTAACAGTGACTCATGGAATGTAATCACAACGTGACTTCCCTTCTGTCACCTGGTAGGGTCTGGCCAGTGACACAGGTTGTGAAAGAATTCACAGCTAAAAGAAAAGATGCAGAGAGGAAGTTTATGTTTACTTTCCAAGAGAGGAAAGGGCCAGTGCATTGTTAATCAATACAGGGCAAAGAACAAAAGTCAGCTCCCCCCTTTTTAAAAAAATACATTTTATGGCCCTGACCGGTTTGGCTCAGTGGGTAGAGCATCGGCCTGTGGACTGAGGGTTTACGGGTTCCATTCTGGTTGGGAGCATGTGCCTTGGTTGCAGGTACATCCCCAGTAGGGAGTGTGCAGGAGGTGGCTGATCAATGTTTCTCTCTCATCCGATGTTTCTGGCTCTCTGTCCCTCTCCCTTCTTCTCTGCAAAAAAATCAATAAAGTAAAATAAATCAATTTTTTGCAGAGAGGAAGGGAGAGGGACAGAGAGCTAGAAATATCGATCAGCTGCCTCCTGCACACCCCTTATTGGGTATGTGCCCACAACCAAGGTAGATGCCCTTGACCAGAATCAAACCTGGGACCCTTCAGTCTGCAGGCCGAC